TTTGTCATCTGGTGTGACGACCAGATTTCCTAGTGTGTCTTGTATCTTTTTTTGTGATTATTCATTTGGGCTCATAGTGATTGTATGGTTTCACCCATATGGTTTCTAAGGGGGCTTTCTGATTGGATGCGCTATATCACATTCTGTGATAGATATATGTAGGATCAATGGATTCTGATGGTTTTGTTGTGGGGAGGGCTGATTGTGGGTGAAGTGAAAATATATTACCAGATTTTACATATTCTTAAGGCAAAGTTGTGTAGTGTTTGGTGTTCTTTGATCAATGGAGATCAACTTGCTATATGCCTAGCATCTTCCTCAACTATGCAGTTGATCCAGTAAGATACCACCAAAAAACCTTGTTTTTTACGTATTTCTTGGACCATGATGGATACAACAGCACTCCATCCCTACTATGTAATGGTATTAAGTACTATCATATGACCAGTGATCATAATCAGTAGTTTAACTGTGAATGACTTTTAATATTTTTACTTACTTTTTTTTTATTATACAGAGTCAATACAAATTTGTGTGTGAAGCCATTCTTCGTGTTTACAAAGAAGGATTAATTCAACCGCTGGATTCCAGTTAGTACAACAGTGAAAAATTGAATTTCTTCTTTCTAAGACACTTCCAGTTTTTGGAAAGCAATCAGCTCATTTCCATAAGCAAGTAGAAATGTTATCAGAAGCCCATGGGAAGACAAATGAGCATATTTGAACTCTGGCACTTTAAATTTCTGTAGAAGAATCCTGAATCATGTACAATATGTAGGAAACATGTAGATATGTATATGAGAGCACTTGTATGTAATATGCATTATATACATGCACACTGAAAACAAATGATTGTGGAAACCTTAGCATGTATCTTATCTTGCTGCCTTAAAACAACTTTTTCTCTAGAAATTACTGTAGTTCTGTTGTTGACCATTCTAAAGTACAAGAGGAAAACCAGTACTAGTATTATGAAATGGCCCAACTAATGAAGTAGTGAGTTACTTCACCTTTGCTAGGAGCTGAGGACTCAACACCTTTAAAGGTTGGTCCCAAAATAATCATAGGCAAGGTAGTATTGGTCATGTTGTTTATTTTATAAAGATTTCTCAAACATTCTACAGGAACAGAATACCAACAGCTGGCCAGTAATTGAATTGAATTACTGGAGAAATTAAAGAACAAACTCCCATAAACCTGGTAGCAAGTTGTAACCTGCCACCTATACTAATATACTTTCAGCAAGTCATATGTAGCATAAATGACACACTAAATCATTTATTTTGGCAATGGTATAACCTGCATTGGCCTATGACCAGGTTTTCCAATTGTTTAACCTCTGAGCAGCAATGTATTTCCCATGCTTCTGTATATTGCACTCTTTGCTCCCTTATCCCTTCAGTAATCCCATCTTATATTTTGTTTTGCTATATTCTATTTCTCCTATTTA